ACCCTGCAGCTCAAAAATTAGGTATTTTTTAGGAAAAGTGTTGATATCAATTATTTGTCTTGGTGTCACCTAGCGATTCATGTATGAGGAATGTTGTACTGGTGAGCTTGTAGTACATAGAATCGGATAAGATTTTTGACCTGTAGGCTACAAAAATTCCAATTAGTATTAATTAGTATTGTGGAGACACGCGGATATACTCATCTGCAGTATACAATGACAAGTCCTTGATAACAGTTGGTAGAACATTGTAATAATTAGGTAATGTTCAATTTTTTTTTAATCGGATGAGCGCGGCCGAAAATGGCTCTGGACAATTAATTCAGATCATCTGGTGTAGTGATTGTGGCGATCGCAGTGCTTAGGCATAACGTTCTTTAGGTCATGTATGCTAGTGACTGTATGGTAAATAAATGGTGAAATATTAAGCTTTGAGAAGAGCGGAAGATGATTATCTCGAGGTTTTGCATTCGCAATCACAAATATCGCTCTTTTTTGCATAAGAAAAGCCTTGCAAGCATGCACGGAACCACCCCATAAAAAGATAACGTCCGCTAAGTGGGAATAAGACAATCCGAAATAAGCAAGAAAGAGAACGATCGATCCAGACTCCAAGAACCTTAACTGGAACACTATTTAAATTGTGCACCTTGCTACAAGAGAAAATAAGATGGACCGTTTTATTTTTGTTTAACCGCAAGGACTTGGAGTCTTGTTGGCCACTCTAACAATACTTTCTAAGTTCTAATGGTTTCCAGCTCGGGATAAGAGAATTGTATCATCCGTGTGGAGCGTAATAAGGCAAATCTTTGATGTAAACTATGAACAGCAGAGGCCCGAGATTCGAGTCCTGCGGCACTCCAGAGGATACCAGCAAGCTAGAACTACTATAATAATAATAATAATAATAATAATAATAATAATAATAAGAAATTATTTCAGAAATTAGATAATACTTTCAAAAAAAATATATCAAAAGTACAATGAATTTGAAAAATTTGTGAGGGCATATATAGTGGTTTACGTTGACACTTAGCCTAACAAATTTTGGCCTACACAGATGGAAATTTTTGTTGTCCAATCGATCACCGTGGGTTTTAGTACAAATTCGGATGCCATACAAAATTCTAATTAATTCTTGCTAACATGCCTATGTCGATATGTATGTCTATGCTATCTGCAACTTGTTTTTGAAGAAAACAATTAATATTATTTATTTAGAAAATCACTAAGTAAAAAATAAATTTTGTTGTATATGTCAATGAGTCAACAATGCCATTTTTGATGGGTTACGCAATATAGGATGTAAAACTTGTTATACGAACGATACATCATGCAGAGCATCTCAAAGTTATTATTAATTAATTAATAATTAAATTATTCCTTATATATATTCCTTTCATTTACTCTATTTATATACCAATTGAAATAGTTATCTTTATGACCACTCATAATGAAAGCAATGCAAACTGCTAGGACGACCTAAACGAAAATCTCTTCGGAAAGGCATTTTCTTGCGAAACACCCGGTACATCCCGAGACTTCGTTCAGGCGTTCCTCGTGTCGGAAGAGTCGGCAATAAGTAACGACGGTCTACCCTACTACAGGTACTCGGGAGCGATTTAATACACCCCCGTAACATCTCGGGGCAAGTGTTCCCTATTAAACGCGTCTCTAGATTAATACATTCTATTTTACCGCTCCATTATCTGCAACTCCCGCGTTTAAATTGCTGGCGATATATTATCCGCGTGGTAATCGGGGGTGGGAGGGAGACGGCGGTAGGTCTGCTGCCGATTTTAATGAAACGTTCCCGCCGATAGCACTTTTGCGATTATATTGTGGCCGACACTCCCCTAAGGACCACTGCGGTTGAAATTTACCGGGTTCCGTCCGCCACCGTTAGGTGGCATCATCATGCGAAGTCAAACTAACCATGCCATTGACTCTGCTACATGACTCGAAATCGTCCGACGATAAGTTCTGACCTCTCTTTTGCTTAACTCACTGTAATTAATTATTTCGGCTCATAGCAAGAGAGAATGGTTAGATAGCTACCTCGAAACATCTCTGTGATGATTGAATTTTTTAGTTGGTATATTAGTGCTTTCCTCGCGAAAGACAAATTTCTATTGCAGAAAAATCATAAAAAATTTGGTTAATTTAGGTTGGTAAAATCTATTTATGGTTCTTGACTATGAAGTGACTTATTTCAGCCTCAAAATTTTTGACGCAAATGGAGCGTAAATTTTCTAAGAAGCATGGTGTGCCAGGTTTAATACGAAAAATCCTGTTAAACGCAAGTTCGTAATTTTTTAAAGCAAATTTGTAAAGTACATTTGATGTTGAAAGCTCTTTACTTATTTCTATAGTTTTGGGGATATTTTTCCAAAAATCGAAATATTTTTGCTATATCACGTCATTTTTGTATAGCGCTCTATATCTAAAAATATAAATATAAAGATTTCACATCAGCTCAAGGCAAACATGCTGTTCCCGAACAGTTTAATTTATAAACAAAATTTCTGTGCCATATTGCCTGTAAGCTGGATTACTTTAAATTCGAATTTCTATAGCAACTATACAGCTAAGTATATATATAACAACTATGGCTTAAAATTTAACCCCTCGCCCTCATGAAACTCTAAGGTGGATTTGTTTGCACGGGCAGATTAATATGAGTGGCGCAGCCGATAGAACCGACATACCTCTTACAACCTATCACACAGGGTGGTTCATGAGTCTCAGTCTTTTTCAAAGCAAATAATGTAAATAAAAAAAAAACATTAACGTTTTTGAATAAATATAATTACTTAATTTTAAGCAGGGATCTACCTGCTTTCGGAAAAATATGTATGCTGCCATAACGGATTATATTTGTTGCACTCCATGGACATGGACATTTCATTATATATTTCAAGTTTATAGCGGCTCCCTTGACGGTTATTTAGCAATATTTCGATTTACACTTTTAGATCTTATTAATACAAAAAACCAAGAGTCCGTTGTTCTTAACTAACCTATAAATAAATGCGATCACCAGATTCCGGCCAACCGTAAATGGGCACATTATTATTCGGCATAATTCTACTAATATATAATGCGTCTGGAACTTGTTTGACAAGGATACATGACGTCACTATTCGCCCTAAACTGGCGAAAATAAATCGCCGACAAAATCATCTTCACTTATGTGGTTCTTCTTGAATTTGATTCGACAGGTGGTCGGGAAAAACACAAAAATTTGTATACTGCTTCTTGCTTGTCTGTAGAGTCAAACCCCAAAATTACGGGTCTCTTCTAAAAGCAAAACTAGGTACAAATGGAATGCGCGATTTTCATAAATTTGAAGGTATAGAGCGGAAGATTTACTAGAGATAACAAGCAGCACTCAAAAGTCAAAGCTGCATATATTTACATCATAACAGCATGGTTAACCAGGATTGAACTTTTGCTCTAAAACGCAGTCTGTTGTCAATGACGGCGAGTCTTAAATCGAACAAAATGGCAAAATAGAATTGTAAAAAGCTGAAAGGCGAAAGTCAAAATAACTCCTCCAACGTAGCAGACATCGCCGAACACCTAGGATCTAACAAAGCTTTTTTACGATTCTTCGGTGCAATTTAGCCCACAAATTCATACGAGAGACGTGCCTGCTCAGCGTAGCTCGCTTTAAAACGAACCCTATTTACGCTTTACGTCTTACGTGTTACGTAAATATAAACAAAATATGCTCGTCTGGAGGGGCGCCGGCAACTAATAGGGACGGGCTTAAATCGAGGCACGTAGAGAGCAGAGAATACGTTTTCGTCGGGCCATGCTTTGTCTCTGCTCGCTCGTACGGAACGCTGTCCGCGCTAACTAGGAAAAATATATTTTTTTATGCTTTACTTTTAATTTAATTTTAATTTTTGTGACTCAATTGAAAATATTGCTATTTATCTACAATAAACGAGGTTACCCTTTTTTAGGTAAACTTTCTTGCTATTCTGTAGTCAGTCCACTTTTAAAATCTTTATCGCACAAGTTAGAAAATATACTCAAAATAAATAAGAAGTGAAAGTTCAGATTTTCACGAAATTATATATTATGACATGACAATTGTTACGACAACACACACAATCACATTTGTTAAAGACACGGTGTTGTTGAAACAATTGTCATGTCATAAAATATAATTTCGTGAAAATCTGAACTTTCAGTTCTTATTTATTTTGATAAATGGATTTTCATCAAGTAAAAGCCACCTCAGTTCAATTTTAGAAAATATACTAGTAATTTGATTTGATTTGAAAAGAAAGCGAGTATTCTGAGACTTTTTTAAGCTATCCTTATCTAGTACGCCCTTCAAATTTTTATGTACTTCGTCCAATGGGAGACTGCATATTTTCAGAGAAGGAACGTAGGAGAAAAAATGTAGAATCTTAGGTGCCCCACTTTTTTTTTTCTGCTCCAACGTAAGACTATTAATATTTTATCAAGGAAAGGGGCGCGTAATTGGGGAAGTATGCGGGGGAGAATGTTCTTCGACACCCCCCGAAGAGTGGGCGAGAGCGATGCCGGCATTCCGTTAGATGAAATAGTTGGAGAATTTTCGGGGGCAGAGTTAATAGGGGATAAAAGTAGCAGATTTAAAGGAACGACGACCTACCCAGTCCTCACCCTATTGATTAACGGGAAAATGGCGAATATATTTTTTAGAAATTTCGCCTTATAAAACGCATAATTTACTTAAATAGTAAAGATAAAAATTGAAAATTAAACACAAAAGTGTTTAATAAACCCGATATTTTAAAGTGACATTTAATGCACGGATTTTAACATTAACTCAAGGCAAAGATATTTTTCCCAAACAGTTTCATTTATAAATAATATTACTGTGAACCCCTCGCCTCTCATGAAACTCTTTTCAACAGAATAATTCCTTTAAATTTATCTAAGATGGATTTGTTTGCACGCGCAGATCAATATCGGTGGCGCAGCCGGTAGGATCGACTTACCTCGTACGACTAATCGCACAGGGTGGCTCGTGAGGGCGTCCTGTGTGTGAAAATCGCTGGCGGTTACTTGACATTCCCAGCTGCCGTCGTCGAACTCGAGCTGGGCCGATCTGATCCATATTGAACAGTCGCCATTTTGCTGATTCTGAGACGCCCACTCGTATTTGTGCGGATACATTCCCATTGGCTGAAACCGATTGCAAAATCGAGTCGTGAGGATTAAGATGGCGACAATTAATTAACAAATTATACAATATTAGAAATAATCGAGAAAAACAAGTATCACGTAGCTGCATCAAAAAGTATTGGCTCAAATTTAAAACTTTTTTGCTATTTATTGACCAAGTTTGAGTAAAAAGAGTGTCAGATTAACACCAAGAACTATCTAGTCATCAGAATATTCACAGATCCGTCTCATTATTTTAACAATGGCAATGACCTTCCAATAAACATAAAAAAGCCCTAATAGGAACCACCTCACTGTTGCATGGCAAATATGTGGACACTAAGATGGGGATTTTAATAGGAGTTTAGAGAGGAATTGTATAGCTGTGTATCAGTTTGTATTAGAGAAACGAATTAACAATACAAAATTTGTACCCACTAATCCAGACGGATATGTTGCATTTCCTAATTAATTTTAATTTATTTGAAATAATTCTAACAAAAACAACTTTGACAATTTGTAAAATGTATCGCTATCTCGAGAGGCATTAGGCGGTACACGTAACGCTAGTTGTTCCAATAGCACTGGACGGTCAATTTTGTTTTGCAAGATACTATTAAGTAGCAGTGTATGTAGGTCGCTTTACGGTAATACTATTGATTTAGTAATTGAGCATATATAAGATATCGCACATCAAGGTCCCTTTAACTATGGTTAATGAAAGCAAAAAGCCAATAATTGATCCCTGAGGCACACCAGACCTCAGCAGAGGCCCGGAAAGGCAAAACCACAGCATGCAACATACTGACTTCTGTTTGAAAGTAAGATCTTCCCAAATAAAGTGCTTTAAAAGATTCCAAGAAGAATTAGTTTTTAGTTTTTTTCGTGACTCTATGAAAATTCTATTACATATGGCGAAAAGTGCGAGGGCTTAGAACAACATGATGGTTCGCTCCTGACAACTAAAAACGCCACCCACAAGAGAACAAAAAGCGTGGTACGAATAAATTTGTCGAATCCGACGGAGCGGTAAACATTTTTAATTTAATATACACTCGGGGTACGTAAATTCCTTTCCGGTTCCGGTTAAACGGATTCTTTATTTTTCGAATACGAGCGCCGGTAAATACTTTAAGAAGATATTGGCTCCTATTTATAACTTACGGTTCGCGTGTGTCGAATCTTAAAACGCTTTCTCTCTCGCTAGCTCCGATATATTTCATACCGATGATTCCGGGGGAATTTTGCGCGGTTTGTACGTGATCGTGGACTATTCCGGGGTCAGTTCGTCTGCCGGACTGCATGAAAATTTCGTTGAGGAGTATTTGTCTGGTGAATAATTTAGTTCTATCGAGTGTTATTGAAAATGTGGTCGCTTTTTATAATTTTCCGAGAAATTCTTGAAAATATAGAAGTGATATTGCAAAACTTTCCTATTCTTGCCTTTAAAAATGATATGACTGAGATTTAAGATGACCTCTACACCTGTTTTTCTGGAGAGGGGAACCAACTAATAAAGTTATTATCTTTAGTAAAGTAGCAATTACTTCTTTTTAATTCATATTGCATTGATTTATAAGCTTTTAAACAATTTTCAAGATACGATGACTATAACTATGATAACTATGATGATAACTAACCAAAACTAACCCAATTTTTTTGCAATTTAATAAGAGGATCTAAATTAGTGTTATATGTACAACTAGTGTTAGAGCTGGTTAATTCACCGTGGTCAATTGACCACTTTTTAATTGACTAGCCAAAAACTGTTTGAAATAACATCTTACAATTGAAGAGTATTATCTGTCATTATTTAATAACAACAAGCTAACCAAAACTTACCCAATTTTTTTGCAATTTAACAAGAGCATCTAAATTAGTGGTATATATAGAAGTAGTGTTAGAGCTGGTTAATTCACCGTGGTCAATTGACCACTTTTTAATTGACTAGTCAAAAAATGTTTTAAATAACATTTTGCAATTTAAGAGTATTATCTATCATTATTTAATAACAATATGTATTTTATAACAAATTATTATGCATTTGTGATGTCCATCAATTGACCAGTCAATTGACACAAAAAAAATCTAATAAGGCTAATAAGTTGCTGCAAAAAATATTGAACATTTTAAAGAAAATAGTAAAACTATACTTTTTAAACATCAGGAAAAAATGAATGAAAACAACTTTAAAGTTCCTTTAAATTGGAGGCACCTTTCACAACAGATAATATTTTGATGAAAATTGCTCTTGTCAAAGGTATATTCTCATATCTCAATATCTTTTCTCTTAAAAATAGTATCATAAATGAATATAGTTTTCTTAGTATTTTTAATATGTTGCGGAACATATTTTGATTTAATTTATAGTAAATAAAGCTTCGTGTCCACTTGTAAGTAACTTGCTCTAGTTTTTTCGACAATTACTTGCCGGTGCGCCTGTACTATATTCTAAATTGTTTTAAAATTTCTGGAAAACTATGATAGCAAGTTCGTTTGCTCAGAAACGTATAGAAACACTTTAAGAGAAACTTCCCAGAATGCCAAAACAATTCGGATTAGTTTAAGGCGAGGTTTAAGGACTATTTTGTTTCATATGAAATGCCATGGCAATATAAGATATATTTTCATTTCTGTATAAAATAAGATAATTATACCTTTCTCATATCAAGTTTTCCTTGCAAGAATACTTTTTAAAATTAAACTGTAAACTTCAAAGTAAGATGTCTCAAATAATTTATTTATTTATTATAACTAATATGATGAACATGTCAATTTACAAAGGTACACTAAAACTAAGTATATTTATCTTAAGTAAGCAAGACTAGTTCTAAACCCAAAAAAAAGAAGAATGTAGAAATATATATATATATATATATATATATATATATATATATATATATATATATATATATATATATATATATGATGACACTATATTCCGGGATATCATCCGTTCGCTCGTTGAACTCCGACTGGAATCCTGCTTCCGACTGGAATCCTGCAGACGTTTCGCCAAAATCTCACTTGGCATCTTCAATGCTCGCGCTCCGAAAACACTTCGAAGTGTTTTCGGAGCGCGAGCATTGAAGATGCCAAGTGAGATTTTGGCGAAACGTCTGCAGGATTCCAGTCGGATGCAGGATTCCAGTCGGAGTTCAACGAGCGAACGGATGATATCCCGGAATATAGTGTCATCACATTTTTCCATATATATATATATATATATATATATATATATATATATATATATATATATATATATATATATATATATATATATATATATATATATATATATATATATATATATATATATATATATATATATATATATATATATATATATATATATATATATATATATAATATATTATTCACCTAACAGATAATTTCAATATATAAGAGAAGTTAAGGCTTGATTCATACGATACACTTATTAAATTGTGGTTACATCTAAAGTTTATTAGAAAAATAAACATTTTTGAATGCTTTCAATTCTGTTTACATACCTATGAAATTCGGGATTCCATATCACACTACCAAACTCAAGATAGAACCGCACATAGGCGTTATAGAGTACAACCAACAACTTGGTATCTTTAAATTCTTCGCTAAACCTTGAAATAAAACCCATGTGTCTGTAAGCCTTTTCCACTATGTTTTCAATATGAATTTCAAAACTCAGTTTTGTGTGTATAGTTACTCCAAGATCCCTGATATGCTTTACTTCTTTAATTGAATTTATAATCAAAATCTGCATCCTTTTTTAATTTACTGAAACTTGCGACAGTCATCGATACTCCTGACACCTTTAGTCATCAGCATATGGCATAAATGTTGCAAAACGAAAACATTTACCCGTTTCCACCAAGAACAAAAAAAACATAATAGGCCCCACTGAGGTATGCCAGTCGTGATATCAATATATTTAGATTTAGTTCCGTCTAACTCAACAAACTGTGTCCTAGAACTTATGTATAACTGAAGAGTTTTGTAAAATATTGTAGCATGATGTACTTTATCGAATGCGTTGGAGAAATCGGTGTACACAGCATCCATTTACATCCTATTATCTAATGCCTCAGACACATTCTGAACATACAGTGACTGTTATAATTGCCTCAAGCATTTTGCCTGGAATAGAAAGAATTGATATGGGTCGGTAATTTATGATATCAATCTTACTGCCACTCTTATAAACAATCACTACTTTGGCATATTTCCAAATAGTCAGGAAGTGCCTTTCTGATAAACTTTTATTAAATATTAAAAATAGCTGTAGCAACAGAGATTCTGTGTCAAATGGCGTATTCAGCAACGGAATTTTTGCAGGAGATGTGTCTGACTCATAAACACTGTATTATAAGTACTGTTCTAAGGTGTCACAGACTTTGGCAAGTTCACTGGATTCTAGTGTGTTTTTGTATCAATATCATACATATGTATCACAAGCAATATCAATGCATTTGTGTTGAGTTACTCTTTCCCTTTTGAAAGGACCAGGAGACCTGGTTACAGTAATATTTTTAAAATTACTAAACACCACGTCCAAGAATACCTGCATTGTCAATGGATACGTGATTAAATTGATCAAAACTAATCAAATTAAAGGAATCTATCAGTAATTCACCGTATGAATCAGATATATCTGAGGGTATATAAGAACCCTAACTAACACAGCAAACGTCTGGCTGTTTGAGGATGCAGCATTAAAACTACCAGCAGCCATTTTTGGCTATCCGCGGGTTTCGATTGGCTTACGGATTGTCTGAACCTCCTCATTTCTTAAAGTTGCCTTCCATTTAAACCCCAAGCACCAACCCGGATAGTCGACTCGTGTTGTCATTTCTGCGACCATATATATTTTGTTATTGATGTTTCTCTAGTTTTACTAGTTTTAAAAAACGACGACATTTTTGCTGTATATTAAAAACATAATCCCAAATTGCAATTACGTTTTTAAAACAACTAAAATCACTTGGGTTGCCCAAAGGAAGTCTAAAAATAGCAATTAACAT